TTGTCTTGTCATTTCTTCATATAGCAGAGATTGATATAGTGTGTCAGACGAGTAAAACGGGAACAAAATAATTTCTCTCACTTGCACACTTAATTGATTTTGTTTTACCTTGTTGTTTTTTGTTTTATTTTAAAAAGGAATTTACACTAATTCACCCTTCTTTTTTCCATTCTTTTAATGGATGTTTTCAGTCATAAAAAAGACGGTTATATTCCATGTATGTGTCAGAAACCATCAAGTGTATTTCTCGATATGTTAGATTGAGATTTCTTTCAAATGTGTTTTCAAATCAAATATTTAAACTGTGTTTTCAAATCAAATGAATGTTTGTTTAAAATAAATTAAGTAAAAAACAAATAGTAATTTCGAGAAACTTCAATCATCACAAAATATATAACATACCATAACTTTAAATAACAGTATCATTAGAAGTGTCAATGATTACATTTTATTATTTTTGTTAAATTTTCTAAATTAGAATATAATTTGAAATAATTAAATTATTTGTAAGTGTATTGATTGCTAATTGATTGTTATCGAATCTTATGACTAATGTTTTAAATCTCATAGTTATAACTGTGATCTATAGATGCATTTCAACATATATTACAATATTTGTATATAATATATTTTTTGGATAACTTCTTCGTAAGTATTAATCATATCAAAACATAATATATATTGTCATACAATATCAACACATGGTATAAAATATTTCATGTTATTTTACTATATAACATGTTATACCGTACAAACATATAACATCCAATATACTATGTTACATTATATAAGCATATAACATGTTATATCATATATATTATACTATCATACATGATATGTAAGATAACATTGTGATAAACCATAGTAATATATGACATATTATATATATATCTTATAACATGTCATTTTATTATATAATATTATATTATAAAAATATGTAACATATAATATGTTATATTACGTTTTTTGTAACAATATATGAATGATTTGAACAATTTATGTTCGTTTAAAAAATTTTAAAATTGTAATATATGCTGGAAAAATCTTGGTTTTTAATATATATAGATGACGAGATGATTCACATTTACAAACAAACATTAGATCAAACAAAAATCAAATGAGAAAATTTAATGAAAGAAAAAATGATTAAATATAAATATATTTTTGTGTTGTTATGGCTTTACGTCATGTCATAATGTCACATGACACAGACAGACATAAACTAAAAAAAATTGTTTCTCTTAGGTATGAGAGCTAATTGCTTTTCAAGTGGTCTACCATTTATAGTTTATTTTTTAAAAGAGTAGTTTAGTCTAATTCATCCTTATATTTATCACCAAAGCCCCAAAATCTCTTTAAGAAGCAGAGTAAATAAAATATTGTCTCAAATGTATTTGATAATCATAATGGGGCATGTGGCCCACCCTCCCATAACCCAGATCAGCCCCTGTTTGTATACCATACCAGTTAGGGGTGGAATTATTATCCGAAATCCGATCTGGTATCTGTTCAGATCCGCTCCGAAAATAAGGATATACGGGGAGTCCGGATCCAGATAAGGATAGTAAAATTAGGATCCGGATCCGGATAGTTAAATTTTAAGGTCCGGATCCGGACGCATTATCAAAAACATATATATTTTACATATATTAAGCTATTTTTATCTTAAATATATATAAAATTTAACTTTAGTCCTTTTTATAATAGATATAATATTTATTTCTAAAAACATTATGCAAATTTTAATTAATAAATTTTAAAAAACTGTTTTTTAAATATTTTTAAATTATTTAAATTATTTTCGGATCCGGCGGATATCTTGATTTTTGGTCGGATATTTGAAGTCCGGATATTCGGAGCCA